TGTGGTAACGTGAGGTGAAGTTGAAGACTTGGTTGGCTACATTTTTAAGTCCATGGTGGCACCATCTAAAATCTCCAGGGAAATTTTTTTTTTTTTTTATTTAGAAAATGAGTTTGGAATTTGACCAATGGATGGCCTGCACAAGGCTGCATCCACATGTAGGCATTCTTAAAGGGATTCTAAAGGCTAATTTTTTTTTTTCTGGAAGAAATACCAGTCATGTCTATACTTGCCTGCTCTATGGAATGGTTTTGCACAGAGGTGCCTGGATCTTCCTGTTCTCAGGTAACCTGCAGGCTTTCCTGGCCCCTCCTTCCTGCTGGGTGCCCCCACAGCAAGCAGCTTGCTATGGGGGCACCCTCAGCTCCATGTGTCCTTTCTCTTCTCATTGGCTCACTGGTTGTGATTGACAAGTGGGAGCCAATCAATGGCTCCCACTTCTGTCTCAGCGAATGAGGAGAGAGAGTCACGGGATAGCTGAGATTCCAGTGCACATTGCTGGATCAAGAGGAGGCTTAGGTGAGTAATAGGGGGGTGCTGCACACAAGGGTTTTTTTTGTTTTTTTTTAACATTTATGCATGAAGCTTGAGTCTTTTAGAACAACTTTAAACTGTTGTCAGTGCCTTTTTGTTAAAGCGGTATTCATCACAAAACCAAAATGTAATATATTTAAGCTTACCAATCCGATGTGGTGGCTGCATTGGTTTTTATTTAGCTTTTTACCCGTTTTCACCTAGTGATCTAGCCAGTAACCCCTCCAGTATTGGTGAGACTCACCACAATGAGAATTGGAAACACAGCAGCATTGCCAGTTTGGGTGGAGGGGAGTGTCAAATGTTTTAGCAGATATAGATACACTAACAATCTGAAGCCAATCTCCAGCGCACACTTTAGAAGCAGATACAGCAAGTTTTTTTTTTTTTTTTTTTTTTTCCCTTTAACCTCTTCACATCAGCCGAATGCAAATGTGCGGCCTCCCAGCGTCTGGGCCTAGATGCCGAGCAGTCACACATTTGTGTTCTATTAAAAAAATGATGTTGAGAGCGTGCGCCCAGCACACATGTCCGGTACTCGCAGAAAGGTTCTGATCTCTTTCGAACATGACTCTAAACCCCGCCTCCCGGCTTCTGAAACTCTTAGCGGGCCAGGAGGCGCTGGCGTGGAGGAGTTGAGATAAAGGTTTTACGTAAAAGCTGATCATTGTAAGCACCCCTGTTAGTGGTAAATTGATTCTCATCCACGTAAACTGATCCATTCTGCTGGAGAGCTGGCGATTTTGGAAAACAGGCTGGCTCACCAGATGGAAAGGAAAGCCTAAGAAACTATTGCAACCATCACATCTAAGAATTGCCACTCAGGTGTGACTGGGGCCTAAAACTGGAGCAGCTGTGCATGGTAACCAGTCGGCTTATAGGTCAATTAAGTGTATGGATGTGTGTAAATACTAGTCATATATTGCTGCTTGCCAATTATAGATGTAGTGGCTGCACGTGTGTTCTTCCCTCTGTCCACCTAGTTATGTGGTCAGTAACACACCTGCAGTATTAGTGTCTTCACTCTGGATGAAGCAGCACAGGGGGCACCTTTGGACAGCAGCATTGTCAGTCTGGGGAAGGGAAGTGCATGTTGGTGGCTGTCACTGTTGTATGCAAACTACAAGTTATAGACTCTTGTGAGTGAGCAAGAGAGGGTGGCTGTATTCCAACATGCAGTGGGACCATGGAGAATGAATGTAGCCGTTCTCTAACAGAAGTCAGATCACAGCAAAAGAGAAGTGCATTTGGAGCAAGCTGAGGGTCATGGAAGGAACTTTTTTTTTGCGTGAGACTGTTCACTCCTGTGATGCTGGGGGCAAGCATCTACAGTCTATCTAAGGCTGCTCTGTCTGCAAGGTGACAACACTGCTACATTTTATTGCAGTGTAAATGTGGCCCTGTTACAGGAACTGAGAAAATGATGGATCTATTGGTTGATTGGTGATTAAAGGTATCGAGTAAAACTGGCAATGAGGAGGCAACCTATCACCTTATTGTCTGTCAAACGCCTTTTGAAAAGCATTCCAACTACATATCACTCTTCCAAGGCACAGTAGTCCTTGCTGCTAGTGTGTTGGGCAACTGTGTGCATTGTTTCACAGACTACATGCTGATCAGTAAAGAAAAAGTGGGTTTTACTCCTGTGTGCAAGAGCTTTGGAGAAGATTGCAGTGGGGTTTTTCCATATGTATAACCAAGGGCTAAGCCATTGTTAGTGTATGCAGGTGAAAGTGCTTCTTGGATTCCAACTAGCACTGATTTTATAGTGTTGGGTTTTCTTAAGGGCCAGTTCACACTACAGTAATACCTCGGTTTTCAAACGTCTCGGTTAACGTAATTTTCGGTTTACGAATGAAAATACCTCGGTTTACAAATTTTTTTTTTTTTTTGTGAATACTCATTCACATAGCAGGGTCAGGATCTGGGGGGGTTGCTTCCAGATTCTGATAAGCCCCCTGCCTGCAGACCCCCCCCACAACCACCACCCAGGGTTGTGGGGAAGAGGCCCTTGACTCCATCAACATAGGGACAACCATCCCCCCATGTTGAGGGCATGTGGCCTGGTATGGTGGGGGGGGGGGGGGGGGGTGCTCTCGCTCGTGAATCTTCCCTTCCTGACCTGCTGGGCTGCATGCTCGGATAAGGGTCTGGCATGGAGTTTGGGGGTGGACATCCACTTTTTTTTTTTTTTTTTATTTAATTTTGGCATGTTTCCCTCAAAATCCATACCAGACCCGAAGAGTTTGGTTGGGAGGGGGGAGCCCACTCCGTGTGGTTGTGTGTGGGGTTTTTTTCCCCGGCAATTTTTACATTCAGCTGTCAGTGGGGAACCCCACTGACAGCTGGAACATTAACACATGGTTGTCACTACTAAAGTACCGCATGACTTGATAAAATAACTTGTGCTGTATTTTAGTAGCGTTTACCTTTTTTCTGACCTCGAACGGATTAATTGGTTTTCAGTGCATTCCTATGGGAAACAGCGTTTCGTTTTACAATTTTTTTTTTTTTTTTTTTTTTGCTATGAAAAGTCCTGCAGAACTAATTAAATTCATAAACCGAGGTATTACTGTTCAATTCATTTTTTTTTTTTTCCTGCGTCCAAAACGCACAAAGTAGGATTACATGGTTGTCCATGTCATAGTACACATTAGTTCTTGTGGTTCCATTGCGTCCCAGATGCAGAAAATAAGCTGCATTTTTTTTTTTAACTGTACAGGGATGCAATAAAACGCACTGGACTGCACATGTCCCTATTTAATTTGAAGACAAGGGGTATAATGTGAAACTGCCCTTAGGGTTTCTGTGTGAAGAACAAATTCTGAAATATTTGTCTCCAACTGCAAATACTAAATAGTTATACTAAATAACTTCTTAGAATCAGTCTCTGCCAATTGCTGCAGCTGTGAGAAAATGTAACAATCTGCTGGCAGCTGTGGTATCTTTCATTCTTGTTGGTAGCCATGTTGGCTTTGTGATCACTTTGCTTTCTGAAGGTATTGCAAGTTGAGTTCCTGTTAGGTGGATTATTAGTTATAATTCGATGTGGATATTTTAAGTTCTGAACCACGAAGATGGAAATTATTCTTTTGGGTATAGCTGTGATGAAACCTTCTTAGAGACACAAACTGTTGAATAGTTAATGCATGAACAGACAATCTCAATGACTTCTAGTTTTTTTTTTTTTTTTTGTTTTTTTTGTGTGTGTGTGGGAGTATTGTAAATCTTTGGTGTCTTTACTGCTATCCCAAGCTCATCTAGAAAGGGTTCCCCTCGCTGTATCCTGCTGATATTTGTTTCATTGGATAGAAAGTGGGGACATTTGCAATAGAATTAACAGATAAAATTCTTAAATGGGTTTTGGCTTTTACCTTCTGTGCAAAAGAGGAGCCCTTTTATCTCTGTAAGGCCCCTTTCACACTAGGTGGACTCCGCAGATCCCCACAGAGCAGGTGGATGAGTGGTCTGCTCTGCTTATGCAGAAGGGACATGGACACAGCCTCCTCCCCTCTATGGGCGGTCGAATGTAAATGGACTGTTTGTCCGTTTACACCTGACTGCTATCTGATCTGCTGGACAAAAGGGGAATGGATCCCCCCCATCTGTCTTTTTAGCTGAGCGGATTGGATGTCAGCAGATGTAAACTGACACATGTCTGTTTACACCCACTCTATAGAGGGGAATGGCGGTTCCAATCGGGTCCAACTGGAAAAACACAGGCAGACCCGACCGGAACATTTGTGTGAAAGGGTCTGTTGGAGAGTTCTTCTGACAAACTCTGAAAAGGGTTATTCCATTTGAAGCAGGTTAAAGTAGATATAATTTTTTTCTTAATAGTATGTAATTATCCAAACTAGTAAACAGATTTTCACCGCTAGTAGACTTGTTGGTATTTAAGCCAAGCATATTCTTAGTTACGTTTAACTTTTAACAACTGACTAGATGTTGTGATCTAGTTCAAAATACTGTATTGCAAGCCTTCCTTTTTGTTTACGTTGAGTCTTTTTGCTGACCTAATTGCAGAGGAGAATTTGTGGGGATTAGTGGTGGTTGGCAGCACCTCAATAGTACCTCAGTGTTCTAATTCTCTGCATGTTTAGTGTACAGTGTTTAGTCTCAAAATCCCAGTTCATGTTTTATTTTATCCTTTCAGAAATTGGCAAGGATTTCAAGAATATCGAACTACCAGAAGTGACCTGTTTAGCTGCCTTGTCAAGAAAAAAAAAATAACTTCATTTTTTTTTTCTTATTTCAGAGCTGTTGCGCAGCCATTGGTACCTATATTGGGGGAACATAGCATACAAACAAGACGCTCACAGCCTCGGTGGCGAAATTATTTTCATGTCAGAGACCGAGAACTCTTGCAGTCGTTTATGTCATCCAGTCTTCTCCAGACAGAAGATACCAAAAAGTTGCAATCAAAGATCTTTTCCTCTTCTTGAAAGAGCTAATAATAAACCAAAATGTCTGTCAACGTCAACCGCAGTGTTTCCGATCAGTTCTATCGGTACAAAATGCCCCGTCTGATTGCCAAGGTAAACTTTTTTTTCCCCAACACCTCTCAAATGCTTGCATTTTCTCGGTGTGCATTGGTTTGTAATATACTTCAATGGTTCTTTCATTGCAGGTAGAGGGCAAAGGAAATGGAATAAAGACAGTAATCGTCAACATGGTTGACGTTGCAAAGGCGCTTAATCGGCCTCCTACGTGTAAGTATAGAACCAGCTGTGCAAGTAAAGGGCCATCCCAAAAGTCCTGCCATTAGTTTGTGTTGGTGAGAGGGTGCATTTTGCAAGCTGTCACTCACCCTAGTATTGGTCTCTGAGGGCCCCTTTCACATGGGAATTGTTGGTGTGGCAAAGCCTTAAGGGTTGCCATCTTTCAAAACCTAGCAATGGCCACCAGACTGCCCACACCTAGTGGCCACTAGGCTTGTGGGGTGCTAAAATCAAAAGGGTTTGGCATGTGATACCACCTTCTCATAGAAGTGAATGGGACCACCCTGCAACTGTGTCTAATTGGTACAATGAAGAGGGATTTCAGTGTGAAGGTTTGATTCATTTAAAGGAAGCCTGGTTATGGATTTGAAGAACTGCTTAAAAAGATAAGTTCACCTTTTGGGGACATGTAACATTTTCACATTGCTGTAGCCTCTTCCTGACCTGCTGCCTCTATTGACAGCAAGCTGGGGATGTTGTCCTCAAACTTGTAACTTTAAAAAAAAAAAATGCATGTGCTTTGTTCTGTGACAAATACAGACATCCTTTGTGGCTGTGTGCTTGTAGTTTTCAGTTGAACTTCCAGGGCATTGAGCGCTCTAGGTACTTCATTGTTTTTCTGTTTGTGTAACTGCCTGCCTGTATGAGGTATAAGCAGATGGCTTACACTGACTGTGCAGGAGTCCTGCATTGCACCCACTATCTGCTGATTGCGGGTGTAATGCTTTGCAGGCTCCTAGTTTAAAAATAAAATTTTTATTGCGTGTTGCGCAGTTCCCGGATCTCTGTAGATTAAAATGTTAACCCCAGCCAAAAAAGCGGGGGGAAAGATTAGCAGACAGGATGGGAGGAGAAATGTCAAAACTGCAGGGGACAGCACAAAATGCTCAAGTAGGGGAGGGCAAGCATGTCGAAAAAAAGGGGGAGAGAACAATGTTCTTGGACAACTTGCCAGCCAGCTTGCTAACAACCGAATTAACCTGTCTAACAGTATGCGTTTATAACAGGGGTTTAGTTAGCACACATTTGCAAATACATACGTAAGCCACAGAGCCACGACACGGCACCCTGATCATCTCTGTGGTCCTAACTCTAAAATGTATGAGTCCCCATAATAGAGGCACATGCATTTAATGGATAGATCAAGGGCAGGTGGACCTGAGGGAGCCACCCCTCTTAAAGGCAAAGGAGTGCACTGGACCCCAGAGAGCATGTCCTCTTGCAGCTGGGACCTTTTCCCTTTCTGTAGAAACTGTCACTGAACAGTAAGTAAACCTCTAATAGAGTTCTGCATGCCTTTTTTAGAATGCAGCAGGAGTTCTTCCCCCTGCTGCATCTAAAACTGTGGATATACTTTTTAACTAAAGAGAACAGAACTGCTTGTGTTGCAGCGCTAAAACTTGACTAATTTGTTCAGCCAGTATTGAACAAGATTCTTGCACTAGTGGGTGACGGCCTTATTTCCTGGTTCAGCCTTGTTTTGTCATCACTGTCCATTGCCAATTAAGGTGTTGCAGGAAGCTATAAATCTTAAAGTTGATCACCTGGGGGTTGTCTTGGTGCTTTTTTTTTTTTTTTTTTTTTTTTTTAAAGACATAAAGGAATCCGGACAAACTGCATGAGGGCAGAAACCTTTTCCTCTTGGCAAATTTTTTTTGCTTTTATGGCATTAAGCTGGTGGCAAGGGGTTGCATAGATTGGTAAGGAGTCATGTTGAGAAGTCCATAGAGTTCAACCAGGTTTAGTCTTTTTAGATGGCCATCATCTGATCCTTAAACACATTCATGTTAATGGTGTTTCTGTGCAATTAAAATGGCAAGCATAAAGGTTTGTGTGTTCTTGTTCCTAAATAGTGCTTGTGTTTCTTTCAATTATTCATTCTGGTTGTATCTACTGTGTGGTATGGCATTTGCAGCTTTGCCACTTAAATAATTCACTTTATTTGCAGATCCCACCAAATATTTTGGTTGTGAGCTGGGAGCACAGACCCAGTTTGATGTTAAGAATGACCGTTACATTGTCAATGGATCTCATGAGGCAAATAAGCTGCAAGACATGTTGGATGGATTCATTAAAAAGTTTGTTCTTTGTCCTGAGTGTGAGAATCCTGAAACAGATCTGGTAAGAAATAATTTTTAATACTGACTTGTTTGACCACTGTACATTGAATACATCTTCTCTAGACATGATGCATCCTTAGGTTCTTTACTTTACAAAAAAACACGTTCTACTCTACCTGCTGTGTGCAGTGGGTTTGCACAGCCTGGATCGTCCTTCTCTGATCCCCTGTTGGCACTCCTGGCTCTTGTTTGTCTGTCGGTTGGGTGCCCCCATTGCAGCCAGCTTGCTATGGGGGCACCCAAGCAGGCTGATCCTAAACCACTGCTGTCCATTCACACATGGATAAACAACAAGCGTGCCCCCCCCCCCCCTTACGAACATGATGGGGCTTAGGAAAGTATTAAGGGGGCTGGGGGTACTGCTACACACGTGTGTGTGTGTGTGTGTGTGTGTGTGTGTGTGTGTGTGTGTGTGTGTTTACATTCATGCATCGAGAAAATAAAAAAAACAAAACAAAAAAACTTGAGCCTTTACAACCACTTTAAAATAGCATGAGGTTGACAAGGATGGCCATTGTCTTATTTAAACCTTTTTAGGACCTAGCTATTAAAATCACTTATTTAAAAATCTGGTATGCCCCTTCCTCTATTTAAACCTGCCCTTGCCAGTTTTTGTGTTGATCATATGATGCCAAAAGACCCCTCATCTCTTGCTGGGTGACCTGTGGTGTTGTCGGTGCCACTTTCTGCCCCAGTGCACTGAGTAAAGGGCACCATGACTATGGGCAGGACTGAATGTTTTTAGCTTGGAATTTTGGCTTTTAAACCTCAGTCTAAAGGTTTCAGGAATTTTAATCCTAGATCCAATAAATGTTGTTGTGTGATTTGTAAATTGTGCTGCTAGCGCACTTGTATATCCTTGTGCTACTTTGAATATAAAGTGTGGAGGGGGGGTTATGGGGGCTCCCCTCTCCACATTTTTTAACTGGTTACAATATATTTGATTGCACTATCTTAGACACCTGTTTAAGGTGAAATATACAGGCAGGTATTACTGATCTGCTCCTCTCAAAGCCAGCTGCCTTAGTTTCTCATGATCCTCTGGCTTCAGTACTTCAAGTCATTCACTCAGAGCATGTATTAAGTCTGTGACTCGTGATGAATTTAAGCCAGAGAAACCGAGTGACGGCAAAGTAGGATGTACTTCTTAGGTCGGCCTCCAGTGTCAGGTGTTTGCTTTTCTCCTATGCTGTGGGATGCGTTGGGATTAAGGCTCTTTTTGACTGGTATACCTGAGTGCTGGCTAGTTAACTGAACTAATACTTTGAACCTCCCCATTAATGTCTGCATGAGTTCATAGCTTTGAAAAATATACTTTTTTTTTTTTTTTTGTTTCAGCATGTCAATCCCAAGAAACAAACAATAGGCAATTCCTGTAAAGCCTGTGGCTATCGAGGCATGCTGGATACAAATCATAAGCTCTGTACTTTCATTCTCAAAAACCCACCAGGTAAGTGTTTAACTTTTTTAGGTGTATTCTTGTTGGAGGTCCAACACGCCATACATAGTTGATATCTCTTTGGAGTATTCCTGTTCTGGCTTCTTACACCTAACCCACAAGACCTCCCTTTTTTTTTTTTTTTTTTTTTTTTTTTTTTTTTTTTTTTCCCCCTCTGTGTGTTTGTAAGGCTCCCTTTTATTGCAAGCAACACTCTGTGGCAGTTGTCCTGAGAAATCATCTGCCCCAATTTTTCGCTTGCAAGATAAAACAAAGTCAGTCTTTTATTCCAGTAGTCTCCTCATGAGACCTACTGTTATATTGACTTTGACAAGTGTGCGCCCCCCCAAACTGCGGTTCTTACCTTATTTCTTTCTGCAGAGAACACAGACAGCAGTACAGGCAAAAAGAAGGAAGATAAAAAAAACAAGAGGGGAAAAGAAAATGGTTCTGTAGCAAACAATGAATCGCCTGTCCTAACAGAGTTAAATCCTCCACGTGTGGTAAGTACATGAGCATAGTGTTCTAGCTTGTTTAAATTGGAGGTGTTTTTCTGTGTATAACGTGGGCCTGTTAACCTATGCAGTTTTTAACTTTTTTTTTTTTATTTTTTATTAATGCCAGCTTCTTTCTAATCTTTGCACATTGTCACTTTAGTAATGGACGATAACTGTACATGTTTGTGGGGTTTTTCCACTAGGATGAAGAGGAGGATGATGATGAAGATTGGGGTGAAGACACAACTGCAGAGGCTCAGCGACGCCGAATGGAGGAAATAAGTGATCATGCAAAGAATCTAACGCTAAGTGAGGATCTGGAAAGGACAGTTGAGGACAGAGTTAACATGCTGTTCGACTTTGTAAAGGTGAACTTGCATTTAGATAGTAACTTCCGACCTTGAATACACATCTGCTTTTTACAGACTGTCTTGTAAGTTTTTGGCTTAAGCGGGAATTTAAATATTTAGTCTTTTTATGCAGTCATGCTTGTGCTGGATTCTGTTATTTTTGACCCAGTCACTTGAGCTGCGGTGTCAGGTCACCCGACACTTCATACTTGGCTATGTGAAACTAGGCTAACTGCCCAGCTTTCTTCCTTCAGGTGATCTGACACTCCGCCTCTGCAATGTTGGCTCCTTTACTATATTCGCATGGACTCTAGTCTTCTTGCTTGAGCTCTCCAGGCTACTATGCTATGCCTTTTGGCTGCTAGTATTGTCAGCATGTCCTAACCAATTGTGCAGTCTTGTAATTCAAGCTTCCCTTTTTTTTTTTTTTTTTTTTTTTTTTTTCCCCCCCCCCCCCCCCCCCCCCCCCCCCCCCTCAATTTTTATGCATTCCAAAACCCCAGACAGTCTTGCACGAGGTGGATTATTCTTTGGTGTAAGAACCATGAATGTATATAAATGTTGCACTGTATCAGACCATTTTTATTTAAAGGTAACATTGAGGCACGTTTTTAATGTGGACTGGACCTGATCTCTGAACATGGCATACTAGAAGTACAGGCACCTTGTTGCCTGCAAATACATGTTGATTTGAGCCATGTGGAGCCTCTTGGATCTTTAATTCCACATCTTTTTTTCCAAATTTGCGATTGGAGAGAATTTGTAGCAGTTACTGACCACTTTGAAGAACATGTTACAGGACTGTCATTCACTGGGGCTCAGTTCACACTGTGCATTCTGGTTGCAGGAATCGCATCGGTACCTGCAACCAGATCATTATCTTCGATGTGCAGGGCTGCGCTTAATTCTGAGACACAACCATACATCTCAGCCTGCAGTGTGACTGCTGGTGCAGGAACCCGCATGGTCAAAAAGACAATGTAGTTTACTTATGGCCACGTTGTTTCAGCACAAATAACAGGCACAGCAGGCCATTCAAATACTTGGCCGTGCCCAAGCAAAGCTGACAGACTGGTCCGCAGTAGTTTGAACCAGGGCTTAAGGAGTCCAAGCCCCAAGGAAGAGAAGATCTGCTTTCCATACACAAGCTCAGTTAAAGACCTTGCTAACTGACAGGGACAGCCCTGGAGCATGTACCTCAAAATTTCATTTCTGTTGAGTGGTTGTTATAAAACACCACCCTTTCATTCCTGTCAAAGGCTTGTGCCTCGAATGATGACTTTGTCATTTTTTTTGATTAGCATGATGTGGGCCTTGTTGGTAGAAGGAAGCACTTGCACTTAAGAAGCTAAGGCTTGGACCTCAGATGGATTTGAGAACTTTAACAAGGAACTCATGTCTTCACCATAGTTTGAACTTTGTGGTCAGGGTTTTTTTAGTTGACATTTACTTGAGCTGGACTTTAGTATTTTCTGGCTAGTAATTCAGTCACTTGTTATGGTGGACATCACCTTCTGGGAGTCTCTTGTGGCTTTTTATTGCGTTTCTGAATGGCATTTTCTTCTCTTGCAGAAAAAGAAGGAAGAGGGAGTTATAGATTCATCAGAAAAGGAGATTCTGGCTGAGGCTGAAAGACTAGATGTAAAAACACAGGGGCCTTTGGTCTTAACAGAAGTTTTATTTGATGACAAGATAAGAGAACAGATCAAGAAATACAGACGACACTTCCTAAGGGTGAGTTTCATTGAGGTTTTTACTGTGAGAAAATGTTGGCTTTTGGAGCTGGAGAGGAAAATAGGTTGATGTTTAATCTAACAACTCATCAGATATGCTTGTGAAAATATGCAGCCTTTTTACAGCAAAGTGAACTGGCTTGATCGCACCTTGCTGGTGAGGTCACCTCTGGTGTCAGTCTTGGCACAGGATCCTAATGCCTGCTGTTATAGTAGAGCATTCTGTATGCCCCATGTTTGGTACTTGGTGCTGGCAATAAAATAGAATGTGTGCAACTTCATATTTGGTCACTAAAGATTATAGCTTAAAGAGGTGTTTGTTTCCACTTTTCAATGTCATGTAGATGTGACCAAAACATAACTCATTGGTTTCGTGTGGGGGTTTTTTTTTTCTCCTAAAATCTTACTTCCTCTGATTTTCAGTTCTGCCACAACAACAAGAAAGCACAGAGGTACCTGCTCCATGGTTTTGAGTGTGTTGTGAGTATGCACCAAGCACAACTACTCTCCAAAATTCCACATATCTTGAAGGAGATGTATGATGCAGACCTCCTGGAGGAGGAAGTTATCATCAGTTGGGCTGAGAAGGTATGCAATGAAGTCTGCAATGAATCAGATTATTTTAATATGTAGATTGGTGTCACAATGTGTTAATTAAGCCCTAGCCACACTGGAAAACATTGGGTAAATGTTGAGAATTTCTGGTATAAAGTGTCGTGGGGGGGAGGAGGTGTTTCTCAAAACGTGGCATTATGTAACAATATTGGCACATAGGCTAATTCTTGGCAAATGCCTAAATGGGAATCAAATTCAAGAACTCTGATAGAAGGGAATAAATAAGTATTTTATCAAAATGCTGTAGGATTTCCCTACCCATTTACAGTTGCTGTGGTGAAAGCATATTTTGTTGTATGCAGCAAGGTTTACACTTGTATTTTTATTCTCTTCCCCCCCCCCCCCCCCCCCCCCCCTTTCAATTTTATTAGCCATCTAAAAAATACGTCTCTAAAGAACTTGCCAAAGATATTCGAGCAAAAGCAGAGCCTTTTATTAAATGGCTAAAAGAGGCTGAAGAGGAGTCTTCAGGTGATGACGACGATGAGGAAGATGAGAATATTGAGGTGAGATGCTTTCATTGGTTAAATACTACCCTAGACTTGGTAGAGTGTGCTATCTGTAGAACTTGAATAATTTCGGGTTAGCAAAGCTCTCCTATTGAAGTTCAAGTCATACTTGGTGCTCTAGTGTTAAGGTTTGTTTAATGCACCTCTCCCGATATCCACAGTTGCTATTTTTGAAAACTGGGGGCATTCAGGGCCCTGCGCGCACACATCCATCATTTGTTTCCTGTGAATGAATGTCTACAAGTACTTGCAGCCATTGTAGCTAATGGCTTGTAGTTCTCCGTGTACTACAAGGGTGCTTGTGAGCGCTCTTTGTAGTTCATTGATCTTCCTGTTCTCGCGTAACTGCCTGCTTCTACCAGAGGTGTAGAAATGTTTAATAAAAACTACTTGTCCAGGGACTAAATCTGGGTCCCAATCTACTTCTCTCCATGACAATTGGCTTGTCCTGATTTTTAAAAGGGGGTTGGGGGGGGGGGGGGGGGGAAAGCACATCCCTGGCTGTCTCCAGCACTGCACGGAGGGGGGAGACTTTGCAGTGTAACGAGCACCATTTTGGGTGCTCATAAGAGGAAGTGTCAGGCTAGCCTAACACTCAGCAGAAGTGCATGTGCTGAGCGAGTAAATGAAGTGCCGACCCCCAATGAGAAAAGTAGAAAAACTATTCCTTCAGGTCACCCTTGCACAGGGAAGCACTTGAGTACAAGTGCATGCTGAGCAGCCAAATCAAGCTCCAGTTTAGCATGAAGATCTATATCCAGTGCAGCAACTGCACATGTACCCGAATCTGAGAAAACAAGTCAAGCTAAAGCCGCAGAGGTACCTGAAGTCACTTAACTCCTTACATGCCAGACTACAGCACAGGCAATGAGTGCTAGAGCTGCTGGGAAATCCTGTATCTCCTCCCCAAGGCTTTGCAGGCAGCAGACACTCCCTCAAGAGGCCTGGCAGACAGCCAAGTAATCACACTGACATCAAACACATGGAGGGGGGAGGTAGAGAAGGGGAAAGGGAATGCAGAGATCATCATCACACTTTGTTAAACACATCAGCTGCAAATGCTCTTCCAAGCTTAGTGCTGACAAGCTGGACTAGAGCTGCTTATTTCCCCCTGTAGTAAGGTGCATGGCTCCAAGGCTGATTGCTTGCTTGCAGCAGAGCTAAGTGTCAAAGAAAACCACCTGCCCAGAAATGCATGTCTCTGGCGTCTGGTAATATGATTTGCACATCATTGCATTCAAGTTATCCTGAGTCTGACCTTGCACCTGCAGTCTGCTGATAACTGGTGCAATGCTTTGCAGGCTCCTTTTGAGTTGGAGGGGGGAAAAAATTTTTTTTTTTTTTTTTTTTTTTTTTTTTTTTTAACTATAACAAGCCCAACCTGCCACATCTTTAGTACTGTTCAATCTAAATTCCCCTTCCATAGGGATGAATGGTAAGGCATGTAAAACACATTGCACTTACCATGTAAAGATGCAGATGTAAAACTATAAAATTTTTGATTTTTCATGTGTATTATCGGAATGCCATGCCTGACATATTTTGTAGTTCCTTTATTTTCTAGTATGTACTGAAATTGTTGTCCAGCAAGGTTCCGTAATTTCCACAATACAAAATTTTTTGTATAAGCTGGTGTAGTGTGGGGTGTTTTTTGTTTGTTTTATCCACCACTAATATGTGTCTTGTCTCCACAGGTTGTATATTCCACGACTGTAAACGTTCCTAAAGTGGAAACTGTAAAATCTCCTGTTGAGAAAGATGACGACATTGATATTGATGCCATTTAAAATGACTTCACTGAAAGCAGCTGTTCACATCCTGCTTCTGCTTTTTATGCCTGAAGTGCAACATGTATGTGATTGAGCTGTACTAGCTGAACATCATGCTACACTTTTTGTATGCTTCAGAGTTTCTTTCTACTGTGATTTGGTCTATAAGCTTCACTAATTAAAAAAAAACAAAAGCATAGAGAAATGGATCAGACTTGGTTTTGTCTATAGCATGTAGTTACTTTTTAAATTCTAGTGTTTTTTGGTGCACATTTATACAGTTGTGAATAAAGGTTTTGTTTTTGGTCATTGCTGTTCTGCTTGAATGACTTGGACGCAATGTGAAGCATACTTCACTGGACTGCCAAGAAGACATTTTGGTGAGGTTATGGAAACTAAGGAATTGTATTAGATGAAGGTTGACACTTGCAAAGAATCACATCTGGCAGGTGAGGTCTGTTTTTTAAAGTCCGCTTCGAGTCAGTGGCTGAAAGTTAGAGGCTGGGGAACTAGTTGTTGGGTTCAAATCTGAATGCCGGGAAACATGAAAATTACCTTTTGCAGTGGGGCTATACCAGGGGTGGGCAAACTTTTTGACTTGAGGGCCGCAATGGGTTCATATATTGGACCCGGGGGCCGGACCAAGAGTAGATGAATATGTGTGTGTGTGTGTGTGTGTCATCCATAGTAAGTATAGTAATATTCCCCCCATAGTAAGAATAGTAATTAATCCCCCTATGGTAATTCGTCCCCCCCCCCATAGTAATTCGTCCCCCCCCTATAGTAATTCGTCCCCAAGTCCCCCGTGTTAATTCACTTACCTTTTGCTCCGCGCGTTCCTCTTGCCGTGTTCCCGCTTCGTTCCGGTGTAGCATGAAAATCTGTCGCCTATGAGGATCTGTCCCCCTCGACGTATCTGCGCATGTGCCAGTTTCAGGCATTAGCAGCCGATCGGCGATCTCCGGCACATGCGCAGATATGTCGAGGGGGACAGAGCCTCACAGGAGACAGATTTTCATGCTGCACCGGTCTTCAGGGCGGACTGTGAGAGGAGCCTAGCTCCGCGGGCCGGATTAAAAGGTCCGTCCGGGCCGTAGTTTGCCCATTGCTGGGCTATACCCACACTGAAAATTTCAGGTTTTTATGGAGCTCTGACAACTTACGCAGTGCTTTTTATAATCTAATTTACAATTTTTTTTTTTTTTTTTTTTTTTATATATATATATTTTACACACTTGTTAACTGCATACTTCCTCCTAGGCAAAAAGTAATGCAGTTAATAGATGTGGGTGTGTAAAATATAGTATTTGATATGTAAATTAGATCCTTAAAGCACTGCATGGTTATGTGATGCTTTTTTCTGGGTCAATGACTCCATTCTTGGAGTGGTGTGTTTGGTTTTTTTTTTTTTTTTTTCCTCCCCTTTTACAGAAATGGCCTTTTTGATATCAAGTGCAGCAATTTAATTTTGTAGGGTTTATTCAGGCCTAAAATATGTGCAGCAAAAAGTTTAAATTGGTGGCTTGTAAGCAACAGCAAGGTCCTTGTTTTTTGAAATTTAAAAAAAAGGGGACTGACGTATGAAGGATTTCTATTTTTAGTGTATTGAGTCACACTGGTATTGGTGGAAGCCATTGCAACCATCTGCACACTATTTGGGCCCCACTAATCTTAATGGCATGCCACCTGCACTAAAAATTGCACCTGCACTGTAGTGTGGTTGCCAGTGCAGACTATGATTTTTGGGAAGGTTCAGGGATCTTTCCCTGTCTTGGAAGACATAGCAGCCCATTCAAATTAACTGCACTAGTGTGAACTGAGGGTAAGTGGCAGTTGTCTGTTTACAAATGGTACCCGTATGTTGCACACTGGTACATCCCAAACCTTTGACAGCTCTGCCCACTGGCCAGGGTATCATGAGCAATCATCACAATTAACATGATTACAATGTAAGCAAAACCTGTCATGAATGGCTTTCTTAATATTGTGCTGTGATTGGCACACTGTACCATTTTTAGCTGTAGCCAGTCACAGCATCGCAATTATATGGAAGCAATTATAGTATAAATCCTCCCCCTCCTGAGTAGTATCACAGTGGTGGATCTGTCTCCCCTGCTGTCCACACATGAGATGCACCCTGTCCTCTCTCAGCCCAGCCTCCCTGGGTCTGGACAAAGATCTGGTCTGAAGTGCTGGGCACTTTCCCTGTGACCAGGTAACTCCAGACCTCAGGAACCCTTGAAGTGGGCAAGTCACCCAAGCTAACCAGCACACCATCCCTGTCCTTTTTATCGATTAGCACCCCCAATACACTTGGGCCTAAATTTTATTTGGTTTATCTGAGTGGCCTAGCACCACTTAAGGAAGGATCAGCCAGCATTGAGTTTACAGATGAATTGGAGAGTTTGATGTTAACCCTATTGCCTTAGTTTTTGCCTTGTTAATGGAGAGCTGCTGGAGGGATAACGCCCTAGGAAAACCAGAGAGTATTGTTTCATACATGACCAAAATGCGCGTTTGACCGTCTTAACCGGGGTCAAACAATCTGGTACGTGAGCAATTCACTTGTAATCTGGCAGCACATGGTGAAGATATCTTTTACCTTGTGTCACAGCATGTTGGAATAGAAAGGACTGTCACTTCTTCAATAAATAGTCCACTTACGGATTTTTTTTTTTTTTTTTTTTTTTTTTCCTGCATGTATAATAGGAAAATCTAGCACCTATAAATAGGTGCAATATAAGATGTTGGGATTTAGGGGTTTTTATATTATTCACGCTATTTGCGTAGCACATCTATAAATATTTAGTCACCTACTTGGCAGACGATGCAGTGGAAATGCTTGACATCTGCTAAAACAGCAGCGCTTCTCAACTTGGCCTGGAGAGCAGTGTAGGTTAAGGCCTGGGAGGGTGATCAGACATCAAGAGCTCAACTATGTGGTCTGCCCTCTGAGGGTTCCCTGCTGCTTGGGTCAGGACTGGACCAGATGTTGTCGAGGCCCACTGAGTCAAGGCTAAAAAGGATAAGGGGGGTTCCTGTCTCCAAGCCCACCAGTAAAGACACCAAATGAGAGATCTTGGTGGGTGTAATGCTATCCAGGTTCCTCAAGCAATGGGGGAAGAGTTTGGAGAGCTTATACATCCTACAGTTAAAAGAGGAGTATTGGTTGGAAGTCACTTTGCTTCCCCTTCATACACTTTTTTTTTTTTCTTTCTATGGCTTCTCAAAGCAGCAGGTCTTCAGAGACTTGGAAAAAGTGACTCCTTTTATGGAGTTTGTTAGGGTGGATTGTGATTAGTGAGAAGTCCTCATTGACTCCTTCCCAAATTAAGTTGTTCCTGGGGTATGTAGTGGACTACTCAGTCGAGGGCTCTTATCCTGAGAGAAGACAGGTTGTGGGGGCTGTTTATGGCTTCAGATTGCTCCCTGGGGCACATCATGAGAGTTCTAGGACTCATTACAGCCTGTATACTGGCTGTAGAGTGGGCACAGTTGCATTCCAGGGAACTTCAATTTTTTTTTTTTTTTTTTCCCTGCTATGTTGGAGCAAAAAAAAAGGAAGTCGCTGGATGAGTCGTTTCCCTCTTGGGAGATGCAAGAACCTCACTGAGGTGGTGGCTTAGGCTCCAGAATATGGGGGAAGGTTGACCATGGGCTCAGTGTGACCCACTCAGGGTAACCATTGACACAAGTGAGTGGGTCTAGAGGACAAACAAGCCCAGGGCCCATGGGAGTCTAAGGGGGCCCTCCTATAATTACAGGGAGCTTTGGGCCTTTGAAGTCCTCCAAAGGTAGGATCCAGGGAAAGGAAGTCCAGGTCCTGTCAGACAATGGTGACATACTTGAATCATCACGGGGGTACCAGATCCCGGAGGCTCCTGGGCGTCCTTTTGGTCTTGGCAGTTCACACAAGTGGGTCAACCTACACCAAAGCAGATTTTCTCAGCCAACAGTTAATCTGACAAGGAGAGTGGGAACTCAATCCTGAGGTCTTTTTACAGCTAATTCAGGGTTGCAGCAGCCTGAATATAGGCTTCTTTGCGTGCAGGAAACAGGAAGGTGAGGTGGTATATTTCCCTGGCCCAGGAGCAGCAAGGGGCTGGATGCGCCATCACAGGAATGGGATTTCAGGCTGGCATATGCATTCTCCTCCTGTGGCATCGATCCCGTGGGCACTACAGAAACTGAGCCAGTCAAGCTTCAGATTGATCTTGCTGGCCCTGTGGTGGCCAAGAAGAACATGGTTCAATGCTTTTGAAGAGGTGGTCTGTGGCTCCCTGGCAGCTTCTCCCATCAGGAAGGATCTCTTGCAGGGGCCAATTCTGCACCCCAATCTGGAATTTTTTCAGTTAACAGCTTGGCTTTTGAAAAGGAGACCCTTAGGAGAGGGGGGTGTTCTCAGAAGGTGATTAAAACTCAGTAGGAAGCCTGTCACTAGAAAGATATATGCCAAGGTTTGGAGAGTGTTTTCTAGCTGGTTTCAGTAGAAAGAGGTCTCCTTTCTCATGGTCCCTGTGCTCCTAGACTTTCTGTGAACTGGGGTGGATAAGGGGATAGTCGTGAACATCCTAAAGGTGCAAGTGGCTGCTTTTATGTCTTTCTTGACCAGACTTGAAGCCCTTGGTGACCTCCATTAAGATACTGCGTTTTTCTGGCTTGAGATTTGGCCTTTGTGTTTAGAGGCTTTAACCAAGCCACCTTTTGAGCCAGTGGCACAGATTTCTGTTAGTTTTATCTTTTAACTTGCCGTTTAGCCATTACAACGGTGAGGAGGATAGACTATCTACAGAGCCTGTCATTCAAGGAACACTTCCTGGTAGTATTAGAGGACAGGATAGTACTTAGATGGGATCCTTTTTATTTGCCAAAGGTGGCCTCGAGTTTTCATAGGACACAAGATTTGCTCTCTTTCTGTCAGAACTCTAAGAATGAGAGGGAAGAGTTTTCATCTTTAGATGTCAGGTGGAGTTTGCTGACTTGCTTGAATAGAGTAAGTGACTTTAGAAAGTCAAGTC